TGACAAATGTTTTAGAAAGAATTCCAGTTATTTATAAGGGTTAAAGATCCATGAAGATTGTAGTTCATTATCAAATCAGAAGAAGGACCCATATTTATGTTTCATATTTATTTATGTGCCTGCTTCTCTCCAGCAAGGACAACTCATTTTTTTGCTTCTTTATACTAACATAGCATCATATTCAATTCACAACAACAAACCAGTCAGTCAAACAGCCCGAATCCTGACCATGACTCAGAAACAACTGGACAAATAACACCCACACCAATTTAAAGGCCAGTGCTCTGACACATGAGCACAATTCAAAGCACACTGAAGATGTCTCCTGAAATAGAGATGAATCGTTTGCTGTCAAATTGCCAAGGTTGGAGAGCGAACTAACAGCTCAACTACCAACCTGAGCTAGTAATATTCAAATGCATTTCATCTAATACCGAGGTTACCTTGCTTCAATGAGGCCAATACTCCAAATTCTGAATAATTGATTACAATTGAGAACAATACAATGCAGAGTAAACACAGATAGGTATACAATATTGCTGGTGAGAATTAATAAGTCTTCTCATTAGGCATATCTTACCTAATCTATTTGAAATTTTCCCCTTTGCACAAGGAAGACAATCATAGCAGCAAAAGGGCTTCTCATCTATTTTTTTCTTGAGGTAGCCTGGATAACAATTTTCATTGCATACAGAAAGTGGTAATGCCTATTCAGAAATGAAACCAGGAGAGAGTTCAATAGTTGTACTTTATACACTCAAATTTCACTTTTTTATGATATTCTGACAAATCTGCATAGCTTTTGGAGAAATTCTATATATGGGATTCAATTCAAGGTATTATTAGATAGGCATATTTAATGAATGCCACCATAGTAATGTGACATTGTCTATATGTCCTCATGGAACCATGTATTTCCTATGTATTCCTATGTACTTCCTATGTATTTCCCATGTATTTCCATGTTTTCACATAACCTTAGAGGTTTCCTGAAGGCTTAATTGGTCAATCTGATCGGTAAATATCTATGAGAATTCTCAATCATCTAGGTCATGGTTATCGCAAAGGTGCTTTTCAAAAGGAAACCAACTTTCTTGGTTTTTTCCTTGAAAATGTTTGAGAAACATTCAATTCCTTGAGAACTGAAGAAGCTTCTTGGATGAGAAGGAAAAAATTTTCAAGAAAAAAAAACTCCAGTTCCCTTTGAAAAGCACCTTTGAGTTGAATCTGATTGGTAATTTATCCCACACTTTGTAGGTGAAATTAAACTTTGGAATTATCTGCATTTTCATTGAGTCCAGTCCTTTCTGCCAAATAGGTCCTGAAAATAAATACTGCAGAGAATTTACTCATGGGATACAGAGTTCCAATTGCATCTAGTCAGTCTTGTAGAAATTATGAAATAGAGGATGTTTTAATGGTGACAAATTTGCAGGTTAAATTTAGAAAACTAAAGAAAATAGCTGGGATTTTAAAATAAGTCTTAGATAATGTCCCGTTAGAATATAATAAAATTATAGGGTAGCAATGGACAGGAATAAGATATTTCAACTAGTACAGTATCTCAGCATGTCGCTTGTTTATTATTAAATAATTTCCAGCTTTTATAACTCAAATATGGTTCCCTATGTAGGACACCCTGAAAATGACAGCTGGTAATTGCATACATTCAGGAATGCCCATAGATTTCTAGAAAGACAAGTTTAGTAACAGAAGCCCTGTGTAATCTGATCTCTGGTTATTGCCTTAATTTTATTACTAATGAGTCACTCAAATGATAAAAGTGATTTTTGAATATGGTAGGGGGAGGATTTGAGGCAACCTGAAACATCAGTAGGAAATACCTGGTTGAACATGGTCGGCCAGATGATGTTTTCTTCAGAAATCATGAAAGACTCTTCTTGAGAAGTCAATGGGTCTACCTTTCCAACTTTGACTTTAAGAAATGTTTTGTTTGGGAATGTTATCCAGTTGATGATATCAAATCCAGTTCCCAATTCCCCCTTTTCATTAAAGAAAACTGTTTCCCCAACACTGTTGTTAAATAAGACTGTTCTCAGGTAAGGATGGAGCTAAATGGAAGCAAATCAAGCACAAATGTTTGAAATTGAATTATGTTGATTCTTTAGCTTTGTGTTTTAACTGTGCATGGTGTCCAGTGTTACATGTGTGAGATGGGCAGCCATACAAATTCAATAAATAAATGCAATTGATCTGGAGAAATAAAAACCCACACCAATTGTACACAACTACCATTTAGAAGTTCCTAATATTACTGTGCAAGTGAACCATAATATTAATAAACATATTATCACCAAGTAAAATGGTTTGACAAAATTTCAAAGTGAATTATGAAGCTTCATTTAGTCAGTTTTTTTGAACTAGATCTTTTTTACATAGTTTCTACACACTGTTGTGATTAAACATAAACCATGAATTTGTGTAAACTATGTGGATACTGAACCTGAAATGTACATAAAAAACACCTGATGTCATCAGAGAGGCTTGATCAATTTGTCATTGTGGTTTCTTTTATTATTACCTGCCATGTGTCTTCCTTGATAATCATCAGCCTTCCATGGTCCGCCCTTGCTCTGTGTTTGTATTTGGATGAAAACATGGCTTTCAAGGCATGTGCCACAGCATAGATTGCATTATAAATGCTGTAACTCTGCCCAGTCATGGTGGTCTCAAAGACAGAATTAGGAAGAGTCTCCAACTTCTCCTCTCCAGTGCACAGCACTCCAGCGTCCTCATCTAACTTATCTTTAAAGAAAAAACATTCAAATGCCTGCTCCCAGAACAATCTTGTTAAATGATCTTCTTCTTCTGAAGTAGGGCTTCTCCTCTGCAAGAATGGTTTGAACCCAGTCACCTCCTTGGAAGAAACTGCAAAAGATATGGCACCATGAATAAAGTCCAAAGGGAGTATTTTTTGAAAAGGGACTGACATGAATTCCATCTGGGCTGGCATGATCCAAACTTTGTCTTTTCTCTTTACTGGTATATCCTCATATTCTGAAAGATGGGGAAATATTCTGAAAATGCCAATGACGTGGTTTTCACCATAGAGGATCACAACATTGGCAGTGCTGCTCATGATAACCATGTACATGGCAATATAATGTTTAAATATATATTCAATGTGATTAGAAAACGTTTCCGTGGGCAACTCTTCCATGAAGGCAAAGCAAATACCTTTCTGGACAAACAGTGTAAGGGCGTTCCGTACAAAACTCCGTCCACCCTCATCAGGTAGAGAAATCAGCCCTATCCATACCCACTTTAAATGCAACAGCAGCTGAAGAATCCCCTTAGTCTGAAGCTCCTCATTTGGGAAAAAACGATGAAAGAAAACTGTGTGTTCGCTATTATCTTTCATTGGAGCAGATCCATATAGAAGCTAAGGAAAAATAATTTAAAATAATTGGGTATTAGAATCTATGATTCAGACTGTGTTCCTCACAAACTTCAAGAAAAATATAATCTAGAAAGAAACCAGTTTTCCTTTAATTTAATATTTGAATGCCATAGGTTTGACAATCTATTGTTTCAGTAATTTCTGAACCTTAGCAGGATAACAGAATAACACAGTTGGAAGGGACCTTGGAGGTTTTCTAGTCCAACCCCCTGCTTGGGCAGGAAGCCCATCCATTCTAGACAAGTGACTATCCAGTCTCTTCTTAAAATATTCCAGGGATGGAGCACCCACAACTTCTGCAAGCAAATTGTTCCACTGATTAATTGTTCTGTCAGGAAATTTCTCCTTCATTCTAGGTTGGTTCTCTCCTTGATTACTTTCCATCCATTGCTTCTCGTCCTGCCTTCATATGCTATGGAGAATAGTTTGACCCCTTTTAAGGCAGCCCCTTAGATATTGGAAAACTGCTATCAAGTCATCCTTAGTCCCTTTCATTAAACTAGACATACCCAATTCCTGCAACCATTCTTTGTATGTTTTAACCTCCAGTTCCCTAATCATTCTCTGCACTCTTTCTAGATTTATTTTAATCCACATTTTGCTAATATATCTTCTTACTTTCCAAGATATGATGATATTATATGATATCACATTATTTATTCTGTATGAGAGACAGTGGCAAGGTTACTTGGAAGTAGAGTCTCCTTGCCCCACCCTTTAGAACAGAAATGGAAAATACAAAGCTCCCTATGATAATCTGATGACATCGTCTCAGTTGCAATCAGATTACTGCAACATGCTATATGTAGAGCTGTCTTGGAAGAAAGCTTGGAGAGTAGAGGTGCTATGAATGTGGCTGCTAGGTTATTAGGCAACTAAGTTTTAGATTTTGGCAATCACTCAACCAACAGACCTCTCTGGCGCATAAGACATTTATAAGCTAAGGAAAACAGGATAAGAAAATTCTACTGATGATGTTACGTTCAGAAACTAAATTGAAACAAGCTTGAAGAGCAAACCACTGCCCACTTACCTCACAGATAGAGTGACTCTGGAAAGTGTACATTTTTTTAAAAAAAAAGCCCTCTAAAAACTGTATATGTTCATAAAGGTTGCAATTTGCTTCTTTCTATATTAATCAACAACTCCAATCCTATTGTTCTATAGATGGTCACCTCTGTACAAAACACTAAATCAAAGCTAACATCCCATCTGTCTAACACCTCTCTGGGTTTTTCTCTTAACACCTCCATGTGACTCTGCAATAATAATCAAATCAACCAAATCCATAGCTTGTCATACCCAATGTACCATCATTTTTATCTTTTTTTTCTTAAAGACAAAACATATTCTGATGGCAAAGGCAAAATCTCTTTTATATAATTGAAAGAAAAGTTTTCAAAGTTTGAAGTCCAACAAGGAGATCTTGTATAGGTTAAATTGAACATCAGTATAGATATAGTGTACATTCATTCATTTGTATTACATAACTTCATTTTTTAAATTATTTGAATTACCATGAATAACATTTATAGACAGAAAGGAAGGAAGGAAGGAAGGAAGGAAGGAAGGAAGGAAGGAAGGAAGGAAGGAAGGAAGGAAGGAAGGAAGGAAGGAAGGAAGACCACTGTGCAGCACAAAGATCAAGATAACTATTACTCAATCAGGTCCATGAATTCTTAATATTTTTACTAAAGCATGGCAGAAAAATGGATGCATGACAATATATTGACATTTCTCTTCAGTGTATTTGTAAATATGTCAAAGAATCATTGTATATTAATTGTTCAGATGATTCAGATTGAGAAATAAAGCAAGTAAAGTATGAAAAAATATGCATCTCATCTGCAAAAACATAGTTTGGACTGCCATTTTAATTCCACATCACAAAATATATATAATACTCAAGGAAAGAAATTATTATTTGTTGTTTTCTAAACATGGCTTTATAAAAGTAAAAAAAAAAGGTGAGTTCATTCAGGGGTTCAAGATTATTGTAACTTACAATAACATAACATGATTTTGTTTTCTAGTCTAGACAATCTATCAGAGCTGACATTCATCACAGATTCAGATTGAAGAATAAATCAAGTAAAGTACCTAAAATTATCAATCTCTTCTTCAAACACATAGTATGTTGTTCATCATTGTATGGATTGCCACTTTAATTCCAAACCACAAAAAAGTAATAAAAAGAAAAGTTGGTTTATTTGTTGTATTTTTGTAAATATTACTTTGTAAAAGAAATAATGGGAGGTAGTTTAAGACTTGAAAGACTCTTATTGTAACCTTACAATAAAAGAATGATTAATATGTGTGATTTTGGTTTCCTACCCTGGACAATCTGGAAGGGATGACATTAACCTTGCAAGTAGGAAAACACTTTCCCTTCCCCTGCCTTAACTTTCCAGAGAATTGGGGAGGAGTGGGTGTTAATCCTGAGATGCTTTCTCAAAGAACACATCTGGTTTAGTCTCAAATTTCTTTTATCAGACTTTTTTTAAAATAGGACTGCAGTTCTTCCTCCTGTCTTTCAAGGTTATTCTTACAGTGTATACTTAGTCCAAGAAAAAAAATCTCACCTGGGGCATCTTGTAGACATTCAAGATGTTTGCCACGAAGGGACAGATGTAAGAGTTAGGTCCTGCAATAACAGATACTGCCCAGTCTTTGGCATCACACTTATAGTTGGGGATGAATCTGACACGTGTTGAGAGAAGCTCCATTGAAGCCAAGTAAGTCAATCCTGCCATGGGATAACTGTTAGAGATGTCAGTACCCAAGCTCATGTTGGATAATATGTGCTTATTTTCATTGATCTCCTTTACAGCAAAAACTAAGGCCAGGACATGTTGGTAGTTCTGCAGGAAAAATCTGGAATGAAAGATATATTGTGTAGATCTAGGCATCATAAAATTTTTTTACTAGAAACACATTGCTTGAAGAAAAATGATCTTATTAAAACCCATATGTAGCCTTATATTTTTATCTTCTTCTTGGGTATGTTTTATGGTGGATAAAGTCATGAAAAGTGTGTTTGGAGTAAACTTGAGGACAAATATTATATTTTTTTTTTTTCTCGGATAATGATAGACCCTATCCCAATAAAAGTCACTGATGTTTTATTAGGGCAGAGAGGTTCTAAGTCTGTGTTCCATGCATGCTCAACAGCTGTTTGGAAAATAATTCAAAGCATGCAACTGTTCCCTAATATTAAGTGAAAGTATTAAATGATTAACATAGATTTAGCTACAAATAGTACAGCACCTTGATAGTACATCATTAACAATTCATTTAACCGTAAGAAAACAAGAAAATCTCAATATGGAATTTGAATAAAAACACCACCGGGAGAATTGTCATAAGTGTGTTTGTGTATTTATTTGCCAGGGCAACCTATTAGAGAAAGATATATGGTTTAACATATGCTATAGTTAAGAAGAGAAAGTCTTTACATGAGCTCATCAACCAGTTCTTCAGATGGGTGCCTTGTGAAACCAACTGGATCCCATATCATGGAGAACTGAGCTAATATCCCAGCCATTATGATATCTCCTGGCAGAAAATACTTGTGCTTAATAATGGGAGGTTTCCCCACAGAACATGCTTTAGTACTCAGAATAAGGCGTGTAGCTCCTGACAGTAACATTGACAACATTGCCATCTCTACGATGGAAAATTCCATCTTCTTCAAGAAAACACTTTTCACTACATAAGAACCAGTTCTATCTGTAAGAATGAAAGATAACAGGAAAGAACTCTCACTTATTAGAATAAATATTCTTTCTAAGAAAAAATGTTGTTACATCTCTAACATTCTGATCCCACAATTAACAGGCCCTTTCAATCTTGAGCTATTCTTTGGTGCTGTGCCTGAGAATTCCTGAAAGAGTTGGGGAAAAAACCACATTAGTAAGATTCTTTGGGTAATTATAGGGGGAATCAGTGAATGTTTGGTGAAGCTCCTTGGAGACTGTGGAGAAAGTAGAATGGTGATATGTATGGGCTAGGGATAAAAAGAGCTCATAACTGAAAACTGTAAAAGAGATAAAGAAAAATACTGAAAATTCAAATGAACAAATGCTAGTTCTGTAGCTGTAAACTTTAAATTCTCTGGAACAATACAACTATCTGATTTTGACCTGTTAGGGCGTACATTAAAGCATGATTTTTTTTCCAAAGAGCTAAAAAGAAATTGACCCATAATGTTATAGAATCCTGCCCATCTTTATTTATCTTTTTGATAGGTCTTTAAACACTTTGATTATTGTATTTGTAATGTAATTAAAAGGCGTGGAGGAACCTTGTCCATGGGGTCATGATGGGTCGGACATGACTTTGCAACTAACAGAAACAATGTAAGTAAATCATGACATTTATTTTTAAGCTTTCTAATGGAAGCAGGCCTGTGAGCTGTGCAGTGTCCTTTGAGATGGGAACAGTGTGTAATACCAAGTGAATATGCAAATAATAAAGGAATACTATTGGAAACAACTTTTTATTTGAGCCACATTTACAAAGTGAATCAATCTCAAAATAGAATGTTCTAAGTTCTAGGAGGACCACATTTTTCAATACTGTTTTTATTGCAAAGTAAAAAATATAGCTTAGCTCTTTTCACTCATTTTAAATGATTTGTTACTCCATATCCTCAAATTCACATGGTATGAACCATATATTTTTTTTCTGGCTTGATGAGTGACATGAGCCACCACCAATCAATTAATCCACCATTGATATTATATAGCCCTGCAACAAATCTCTTTATCAATATGGGAAATGAAAAAAATAATAATCTAATAGTCACAGGACTCCTTCCTCATTAATTGTGAAATTTCTTTGCTGCTCCAAATGTTGCTCCTTTTATTGTTGGGATTTTTATGATTCAGGCTTCAATTTTGCTCAGACAGCGAAGCAGAGACCCTCATCACACAGTCACTGTTGCCTATGGATGAGCAGGAGGAAGAACAGCATGAGCCCGAGGGGAGGGAGGACAGGCCATTCGCCCAAGAAGAAGAGTCAACCATCTTTTAAAAAAACAAAAAGAGAGGAGATGTTGGGATTTTTATGATTCAGGCTTCTATAGTAAGACTAGGCCAGTGGCCAGCTTGCGTACTAGAGGCCTAGGACAATAAGTAGGGAATGATTGTTGGGAATGATTATTGCAATGGTCAGGTAATTTTGCTTTGCATTAGCTAAGAATCTGACCATGTAAAAAAGCAAGTAAGAAAATGTAGCTGCATTGCATATGTAATTTTGTATATCCTGTTCCAAACCACATATCTGAACATCCTGTAACAGGAAAAGCTCTATAGAACTGTGCTCAGAAACACAAGCCACAGAGCCTGTCCGGATAACTCCGGACATGAGAGAAAACCACATCCTATAGAAAGCGTTTTCTGCCCTGCAACAAGTATGTAACCAATTATATGATGGCATGTACTTATTTCCTATATATGTAACCAATTATATTGATACCTGCACACTTCCTCATGTATGTGCCAAATAAAAGAGGAACACGGGATACGCCCGACGGTTCACTTGTCCAGAGGATAGCCGTGTGTTGTCTTCTCTTGTCGGTCAAGATTCATGAGTGACCCCACCCTAATGTGGCAAACCACAAAAGCCACAAATGGTGACCCCGACGTGATGAGCGTCTCATGTGTTTCTGCGGGAAGCGGCCCTGACAACCCGGTTTTGGCCGCTGGCGGAAAGCGTCTTGGACCACCCATACTTGCCTAAGGGAGACTGTGCGCACATCCATCCACGACTGGAGTTCAGTAAGTATGGGGGGGGAATTTTCTCAGCAACTGGTTTTACACCTAAACGAATTGAGGAAATTAACCGAATCTTCAAAAAGATTTGCTTCAAAAGAGGGTAAATCACTCCCTCGATTGAAAAGCAATGATCTAATTGGCCTTCTGACATACATTTGGCAACGCTGTCCATCGTACCCAGAAAAGGGGAGTTTTAAATTAATTACATGGACAAAATTCCATACACCCTCACACAGAAAATATTAGAGAAACTATTTTGAAGTAGAAACAACAATAAGGGGAATTTTCAGAGTAAATTCAGAGTACATAAATTAACTCAAAATGTACTCCTTTGCAATGCATTTTGAACAAATAGGAATGTTTTGAAACTTCATGTAACTGTTAAGTTTAACCCTGTCAGACAATGTCTGATGGTGCTGTGTGTTGACATGTATTGTATTTTGTTCATATATATATATGTGTGTTTTGTGTATATGTGTGGCCACCCAGAACACTATGCTTGGACTTGGAATGGTGAGAAAAATAAGAGATGAAAGGGCCCTATAAAACCATGTTTGGTTGAAATCAGCTCTTGATTCTTCTCGCTTTTTGCAGGACAAGTCATACGTTTCAATAAATGTTGTTTTAACAGTATTTCTGTATTTATGGTTGTCTGTATTGTTCTGTGTTATTTTTAAGACCAAAAGAGGGTCAAAACCCTCTCTGATAACAATAATGTTAAAAGGCCTGGTTTAAGAATGCATGGTTTGCCTGGAGAAAGTTTGAAATGAAATATTTGTATGTGGAATTATTTATGAAAGCAGTTAGAATGGAAGTGAATGAGTTCATTTGCTGATATATAAGTGTGTGTTAGCCCTCAAACCCTACCCCCCACCCATTTTCTCCCAGGCTGTGAAAGAAATAATGAATGATAGATTTTGTTATTGTAAAAGTAATTGAAGAGTAATAGTAAAAGTTTCCAATCAAGGAGAGAAAACTATTCTTTGGCACAACTAGCCA